TGAAGCCGTTATACCAATTAGACGAAGGGCCATTTCTCCGTGTGTCGGCCTCGTTGCCAGTAGGCGAGGGCTCCGTCATGGAGCACGCCAATATTTCGCTTTGCGGAACAACCAAGTGACCGGTGAGCATGTCTCAAAGAGCAAATGGTTGCACCTGGGTCCGGCAGTATCTCTCTCTCTTCAGGTACCGCCACATGTGTGTGCAAACACAAATCTGATAGCATTGTCGAACGAGAGTTCAGGTTTGAGTGCAACTCGTTACTTGGCAGAAGCCGTATTTTGCTGCAAGCACAGGGACCACCGGAATTATAGAATTCCTTTGCGACATGGCTTCTGATTCGGATGTGGGCGGTGTCGATGTTACTGCCACCGCCGTTCATGATTCTCCTTTTGAGGACAGCCCGTCGATGCAGGTTGATGATTTTACAGGTGTCGACATCCCCTTCGACAGTCAGGAAAGCCGAGACGTTCAGGGATACCTGGAATCTTTGAACCGGTCGCCAACGACCCCGATCTCCAGTTCATCGGACGCGGAAGTTCTGGATGTCGACACTAAGGTTCCGAGCCGTTCCCCGCATATGGGCCCACAGAAGAAGAAGCAACCTCGCCGTCAGCCTCCGACAGCGACTATAAGGCACCAGGTTCCATCGGGAGACAAGCCAGACAAGCCAAGGCTGCTCCAGTGGACAGGTTACATATGGGCGGTGCATTGTAAGCTTTGCTTGCACAGGATGATGTAGAACCTGAAGAGACAGGCAGTCACAGCAGAGCATCGGATCACTACCCCGCGGCAACACCAGGTTTCTCTCCTTGTGCTTCTCCAGCTTCAGGTGCATCACCTCGAGGCACGGGATATCCGAGAACCCGTGCACAAGCTTCTACGGATCAGCTGATGCCGCCACCTGCACCCCCTGCACCCCCTCGGCATGCTTCAGACCCCAGGCTGCGCATGAGTGATCTGAGCCTTGAAACTGAGCATCACATCGAGAGGGATGCGATTGGAGGTGCCATGTCAGTGAAACTGGTTAGCTGGTCTGAGCCTTTGAAGATTACGGCCAACCATCCAGACGTGGTCGAACGGAATGCCAGGTACCTCGGACGGTTGTACCATGAGGCCAAAGTCAAGGAACCACCCGTCATGGAGTGGACCTTCTGGGCCAGTGCGATGCAAGCATACACAGGTGACAAAGAGACATTGTTTTCACATGTTGTATGCATGGAATCCAAGCAACATATGTTTTGGATTCACTACCTCCGGGAGCCCTTCAGCACTAAGGCCGGAGATTCTGCAGTGCATCGGCATACACTGCATTTCGGGCACGGCACAAACACTGCAGGGGTCGAGGGGATCATGAACAGTTGCTATCTTGCCCCAGCAACGATTGCTGACGGGGCAGGTGCTGTAGGACACTACAGCCAAGCTTCACCATGGGGAGATTCCGAGAGTCTGAAGCAGGTCCTCGACCGAGTTGTGCAGTCAGGCAAATGGCAGTGTCCTTTGATGGTTCATGGATTTGTGATGACACCTGCCGGACACCATGTCATGGAATCAGGAGGCGGAACTGAGGCTCAGCAAGCTTGTGTGATCCATGCAGCAGTCCACTTCAAACGAGACAAGAAGTGGCTTTTTTACATTCGGATCTGACTACTGTCACCAGCTTTGTCATTGCAGTCAAGAAGCAGTTTCAGCCTCTCAGGGACCACCTGGGCAGGCCAATCTTTCAGCTTGGACCCACACATGCTGACACGGTCAAGCAACACTTTCGAGGCACTCGCTAAAGGCGAATCGCTTTCCTTTGTCACATCCGCTGTGACCCAACGATCAGAGCCGCATCATTTTTGCAAAACATCAAGGCCGTTCCTGCAAGGGTTAAGTCCTGCCGTGCGCTCCGTCTCTCTCTCTCGCTCTCTCTCTTTCTCTTTCTTTCTCTCTCTCTTTCTCTCTCTCTCTCTCTCTCTCTCTCTCTCTCTCTCTTGACGACTATCATGTGTGGACCTGAAGCTTTTGTTCGAAAGTTCCCAGCATTGCTTAGGAACCGCATCAATGGCACGACAGGGACGGAGGAACGATTCTCGATCGCGCAGCCGCAACCGAGGGCGGCCAGTGTACCGCAGAGAGCGCAGCACCTCCAGACCGCCTACGACATACCGTAGACAGGAGCTCCTTGAGCTTCCGCGGAACTGGAGGTCCAGCCCCACCCAGTACGACACCAATCGGGAATACGGCTTGAACTTACCTCGTCAGGTGGTCTCCAACAAATTCACTCGCGATCTGCAGATTGATGGGATGGACATTAGTAAAACTCATAGGTCCTACGGGGCTTTGTGTGAAGACTGGAAATCGCCTCAACCGTCAGTAAAAATCAAGACCTTTTTGGTAACGATGATCACAGACACCCTCTGTGGAGGAAGGTTTGATTTTTACAATATTCGATTGCTTCGAAATAAACAGCAAAGGGCAAAATTCGGAACCTGCCGTGCCAAGGCAATCTCTGGCAATTTGGTTCCCGTACTGGATGCTTATGTGCGGTTGGTTTGATCAGCTGGTGGGTCAAAGATCGTTGTCATTCTTGTCCATTGGACATCTTCGATGTGCGTCTTGCTCAGGTGACAACAGCCGCCACACAGTCTGGGAATCGTTTAAGTCCAGACAAGAGGCCATTACCGCAGGGACCTTGATGCGAGCTTTGAGGGGTGAGAACTCGACTCACTACAGTGGCGCGGATCTCAATTCCACCCTGACTCACATGACCAAGAACATGTTCCCAGGGCAGGACCCATACCTGTGGCACAACCGGTACATGGCTATCAAGGAACTTGCCAAAGAACTCGCTAAGGTGGTGGCACAAAAAGGACCTTCAGCAGCGAGTCAGTCCATGTTGCAGCAGATTCAAGAGCTTCAGAGAGAGAATGCAAGGCTGAAGAGTGGGAGAGCTCCCGCACACAGTTCGACCATCCCGGCTAGCCCAGCTCACGACGAAATAGTCTCGGCAGCGATTCGCTTTGGCTTAGATGCCAAACTGGCATCCCGCCTCTCGCTGAAGAACCTCTCAGCCACTATAGCTGTGGCACAGTTTGAGGCAGCCTGACTAGCGATGAAATGTTCGCACCTGGCCTTGCACGAAAGAAGTGCCCTCAAAGCAGACATATGTCAGCTGGGACAAGCAGTCACCTTTTTTCTGCATGAGTTCCCCGGGATTCAACAAACAATCCATGTTGTGGGCCCAGGGCCTGATGCACCTTCTCCTTCTGTTTTACTTTCAAGATGGATCCTTCACATCCTATGCTGGTGATCCGATCCAAACTTCGGTGCTTCAAAGTCCATCCGATGGACTACACCTGGCCGAGGTTTCAATCCCAAAATGCTGTATATATGAAAGCTGCAGTGGATGGGCGCCATTTTTCAAGTGTCGAACAGTATCGGCAGCCTTCCACTTTCATGTATATTGGATCTACAAGCCAGTCAGTCTTTCGGCGAGAGTCTAATAGACTCTCGGTAGCTAAGAAGTTGGCCACCGGCGG